GGTAGAGGGTGCTCTTTTTTCTACTTCTATCACCCTCACACTTCTAGCATAGCCTGTATCATAGTATACACATTGTAACTGAATGTCCCTCAGGAGAATGCTCAACTAGGGTGCCGGTTCATAAAGAGCAGGGACTAGGCTTTATTTATATTTGTATCCTAGCTCTTAGCTCACTTGGTACTCAATAAATATTAGTTCAGTGGATGAGTAAAAATGTCCACCCAGATATAAGAAGTATATGTAAGATAGAAAATATAAATTACATTGTCAATATAAACATATATGTATTTTCTCTCAACAACAGTATTTAAGTGGATCAACTGTATGCTATTATCAGAGATTCTTTTCTCTCCTAGTTCAGATTGGGATCCTTCTCTTCCACAAGAGTCTGGATTTGTGAGGTTTTATTCTTCTTCTAAACCAAATATCTCACCGTTTCAAACATAATGGAACTTCCTGTATAGGTTTTATCACCTGGTAGGAATTTGGGCTAGGTACTACAACAGGGATTACATTGATGCCTCAGTAAATTCAGTCACTTTTGACTGTTTGAGAAAATGTTCATGAAATTATTAGACTCAGACAGATACAGAAAATTTAGATGGACCCACCCTTCCTTCTCCCATCCTCTTCCTTCCCTCATTTCTGATCCTTTATTCACGGCTTGTTGATTCTTTAATGCGGTCTCTTCAGTGCTGCATCTTCATTCTTAAAAGTTCTCTAACATTTGAAATTACTGACCATTTCTTGCTTTTTGAAGGCTTCCCTTTCCTTGTGTTCTCTGGTGCTATACAGTCCTATCTTCATTCTCTGTCATTTTTGTTGAATTGTCCTCAATACGGCTAAATATGCCTGACAACTCAGCCCAAGATGCTTATGCTTTTCCCACATTCCTTCTCTTTAAGACTTTACCTATTTCAATTCCTCCTGGAAATCACCATCTCCAGCTATGTATCTGTAAGAATCTCTTATAGAAGCAGTCCCTTATGTATCTGTAAGATGTCCACTGCCACCTCAAAGGCAACATGCCTGTGATGGAACTGCTTTTTCACCACACATTGACTGTCTTTGGGATGCCCTTCCTACTGTAAGAGGTATCATTATTTCCACAGTTACTCAGGCTCAGTTATACACTTACTCAGAAGCAGGAAGTCATCCTGGATTCTGCATTCTTTCTGTCCCTTCATATCCAGTCAGCCACAAGCTAGTAATTTCCTTCTTCATAATGTCTGTTGTATTTGCCCCTTGCATTCCATCCTTTTGCTGCCCCCTACATGCATGTCCTAATTGTCCACTTGTAGCCTTGACCACTACAAGAGGCCTTCTAAATAAATGTCCTCACTTCCATCTCTTCCCACTCAATCTCACATTAATCTTCTAAAAATACTTCTCTGTACCTATTGACTATTCATTCAAAAGCCTTTTACAGCTACTTAATTCCCATAGAATCAAGGAATCCTTCCTTAGCCAGGTCACAGCATTTCATACTCCATTTATTTCCAACCTCATTTTCTCCCTCTCTCCAACAAAACCCCCCTTAGCTCACTGCCCTAGTCAGTAGTCCTTGAATATACCTCAACCGCTTAATCTTTTTCTGACTAATAAGCCCTATTTGTTCTTCAGGGTCAGTTAAAGTCCTAGTTCCAGTTCCAACTGATCCTATTCAAAACTGATTTTCCTTTTTCTGACACCTCTCATATCTTGTATTGTAATTTTTTATTCATTAATTCAACAAAACTTATTGGCCATTGTTCATGTGCCAAGCACTGTGCTAGACACAGGGAATACAAAGGTGGATAAGATATAGTTCCTGACCTTGAGGAGTTCATGATCTTGTCCAGTTTGACAACTTAGAATATGAAATACTTGAGGGCAGAAACTGTCTTATTCCTCTTTGTATTTCCAGTACTTATCAGCATCTTCTACAGAATACATATGTCATATGTATTGATTGCTGTTAACAGGGTGATAAAAAAACACGGAGAATTTGTTTTAATAATAAGGAAGCAAGTTAGAGGCCAGCAAAATTTTACTTAATATATTTTACATAATTTTACTAGAAATTCAAAGCTACCATCTGTCCTTCTGTTGGGTTTTTAGTATTGTAAAAACTCTTTTAATCTTAAAGGCTATTGTTATTCAAATTCTTTTCTGGGCTTTAAGGATGAAACTAACACTTTTGGATCATTTGCAGAGTTAATTTAACTATTCATTAAGAAATTCTGTAACACGCTCATGTATACACTCACACACTCTCATAAATACACATTCATAGATTCCTATACAATAATCCAGAAAACTTATCACAAAAATTGTACCAAAATCTCACTAGTGCAGTTGGTAGATCTGGCATAAAGCCAGGACGGATAATAATAGTTAACTTTTATTAAGTGGATTATCTTGTATTATCCTCTTTAATCCTCAAAACAACTCTATTATGTAGGCAACATCAGAACCCTTCTTTTTCAGAAGGGGAAACTGAGATATAGCAACATTTATAAACCTGCCACAGAGAGTGAAAGAGCCTAGATTCAGAATCAAGGAACTTTGATTCCAGAGTCTTATGTGCTTAATGACTATGCTATTATTTCTCCCACGGAGATGTAAATAATGGCTCAAAGTCCCCCTGCCCACCCCTGCAAAAAAAGTGTGGGGAAGCAGAGAGAGAGAGAGAAAGTGGGAGAGAGAGGGAGAGAAATAGAGAATGGAACTGAATGGAAAATAAATAAATTGTTCATGGTAATTAGCCATCCTAACTCAGGGCACTGGAAATTTCAAAGGGCCTCCTCCTCTTGCCCCACTGAGACTTTACTCTCTGTCTCATGTCCTCTGTTTGGAAAAAACGGAGGAAAACAAGGTAAGAGGCAGGCTGACCATGAGCACACACAGCTGTCACCAGACCATTCTGTTTCCTGAAAGGTTGCTCACAGTGGCCTCTGAGAAGCAGGAGGTGCCACTATTCAGTACTTACAGCAATCCCAGGACAGAATTGCCAGTGCTAGATAGAAGGCTGGCATGTTCCACCCCACTCCCCAACCCCCCTTGATTCATTCCTCTATACACTGGAGTGGCAGGTGGAAGTCAGAGAACAGAATAAAGAAAGGTGGTTTGTGCAGTTTGGGAAATACAGAGTTTGGCTTCTGAGGCAAAGGCAAAGGCAAAAACAAAAACAAAACAAAACACAACAAAAAAATGTGGAAGAATTGGACAGAAAGGGGCACCAGGAGACTAGGCGCCTCAACCAAATAGGAACCAGATGCAACTTTAAAGTATGTGCCTGCTGTCTGTGCTAACATTTGTTATCCATGCCCATACTTAACACTTCATAGTGTAACACTCTATTACCTCCTCCAAACACCTAGAGTGGAGGTAGCGATTATATTCCTTTCACAGAGAGAAGGGCTTTTGATAATATAACAAAACCAAAATGACTTCTGAAGAAAGCTGTAGATGTTTCTAATTAAGCATGACTGCATTTATACATATTTGAGATTAACATGGTTAGAAGGAAATAAATCAGAAAAAAAATGTCAGGTTACTTTAAGCCCTATGGTCCTATGGTGGATTGTGCAGCAATTCTTAAAGTGCAGATCAAAATGGCTCTGGCCTAAAGTTTATGAGTAGACAAGGTTTTAAGGTTAAGAAAAGTGTTTGTGTCCTATGGATTTACAGAAACTTGCCCTAAAAATAATTGATAAGAACAATGAATGGAGAAAACATGGCACCACATCACAAATATTTCTCAAATGATGGTTTTTGAAAAAGTATAGAAAAAATTCGCATGATTGGTTAGTTCTCTGATTATCACTATTATCTTAATCCACTTTTAACTTTCATAATTAAAAATAAAATTAAGAATATTGACATTTTTTCCTTTGGTAGCCTTAGCCTCAAATAAAAGTAGAAATGTGAATATGTTGAAAGTATATGTACAGATTTTGTGTATGTCCCTGGAAGAGACTTTGCTTGCTGGCTAGCTCAATTTTTGACAAAGAAAAATGGGCTGCTCTTGTTTCTAGCACAGAGATGCCCTGTTCACAGAACAAACCAAAAAAATGGAGAATTTGTGTTTAAGTTGAAAAGAAATTAATATCCAACATGATAATTTATTCAGTATAAACTTTCTATTAACTGATAAAATGTGTACCTTATTAGAATGAAAAGTGTAACTTTGTAATAAGAGCTTAAAATACTGATATCTGGAAATTCTAACAGCAAGCAAAACATTCTAAATTTCATTTTCAGTACCCCATAATTAAAGATACTGTTCTGCTTTTTAAAAACTCAGTTTTATCCATGCAGTTGTATACTCTAAGGTTTCCAAAAGAAGTTAGGCAAAGTATTTGTGAGTTTGAGCTGCCTCTGTTCCTTCCGCAGGGCTGCCATCTGGGCTTGTTTATTTGTATTTCCAACTTTCTGGAACAGGGAGTTTCTCTGTTAGGGACGGGGCACCAAGCAAAGGAAGTGTCTTACAGAAGACTTTTTTTTTTTTTCTTTTTTTACTGTATTTTCAAACTTCAAGATTAGCTTGGCCAAAAATATAAAGTGACTAGCACAATCACAAAATTTTACATAGTTGGAAACCTCAGAATTATCTTAGCAAATATTCTGCCACATGATGCAAATCATATATCCTACATGCTACCTTCTTGTGACTTCCAGATCTTTTTCAAGACCCAAACTGTCATTAAGGCTATAGCTATTTGGCCGGGAAATCAAACATTTTTATATATCCTACAAATAAGCATTTGATTTAAAAATGAAAGAAATAATTCCAAGCAGTTTTTCTAATTTTACAAAGTGCACATGAGCCATATTACAAAAAATGAGGCAAACAAAACAAAGATCTTTCAAAATATAATTAAGAAACAAAGCATTATTGTTAGATTTATACAATCTGATTGTGAAGAATAGTTTAAAAATTCACAAGCAACTTAAAAAAACTAGTGCCTTCTCTTTGAAAGATTTCATTTAACAAATAAAATAGAAGCAAAAATTACCTTGTAAAGTAAAATCCAGCAATACATACTCGTAAGCAAATTCTGTCTTTGTTTCCACTTGCGGTCTCTTCAGGGTAGAAAATATTTTTCCAGGACTGCTATCATCAGGGTCTTCTAGCTTTCTAAGTCCGCACCCCATAGCAAAATCTGTAAGGAATTAAATTGCAGGATAGGGGAGGCAGAGCAGCAAATTCTGTTGTTTAAGCTGCAAAAAGAAAGTTACAGACTTAACTGCTTTGATTTTTTCAGCTAAACCATGGATAGTCAAAAAGAAAACATTTGAATCCAAAGAAAGGAGCTGAAGACTTTTTCTATCCATTTTTCTGTAAAGTCGTTGGACCCATGATGATTAAGCTACAGTTCTAGGAGGCTGGGCTTGATCTTAGGAGAAACATGCAAGCTGCTACAACTTAGCGGAGAATTTCCATGCCACGTCAATTTACAGCCAGCCCCCTACCAGAGTTCTGTCGCTCAGGGCACCAACAGTGCTTTGTCTGTCCCAGTTGGCTGGATGATAAAAGAGGTGTCCAAAAACGGAAATAAAAGGCAAAAGTGCAATTCGGATGGAATTATCTACAAGTAAAGGATATATTCAGGCATAGTGGCATGCAATTCTTTTTCTGTTTTCTCTTTTCCCTCTTTCCTGTGCCTACCCCCTCCTTCCTCTCTGCTATTACCAGAAAAGCAAAAGGAGGGAGGAAGGGAGGGAGAAAGAGAAAGAATAAGAGAGAGAGAAGGAATAAAAAAAAATGGATTCTCAATATGGTTGGAAACAAAAATAATTTCCAGAAAGGAAGTCAGCTTTAGGAGGAAACTGTTTCTGGAGTCTAAAAGGAGAAAAGTAGTTGTTTTTTTTTTCCTAAACAAACACTTTAGTCTTTAGGTAGCACTTTTGAGGATTTCTTTCCACAGGAAGACTCTTTCCACTGGAAAAATCATATACTAATGAAAACTGCCAAATATAAAAACATTTATATTACAATATTTTAATAATAATGTTTTATTTAATTACAAAGGAGGACAGTTATGTGGATAATTAGTTTCCTCAACATCCTTAAAGTTTAAAATACTCCACAATTAGGCAGCATATGAGAGTAACTATTAACACTTTTACAGGTCCCAAAGTATCCTTAATTAAAAAAAAAAAGGCAACAGGGCGCCTGGGTGGCTCAGTTGGTTAAGCGACTGCCTTCGGCTCAGGTCATGATCCTGGAGTCCCGGGATCGAGTCCCGCATCGGGCTCCTTGCTCGGCGAGGAGTCTGCTTCTCCCTCTGACCCTCCCCACCTCATGCTTTCTCTCTCTCTCAAATAAATAAATAAAATCTTTAAAAAAAAAAAAAAAAGGCAACAAAACTGACAACTTGATTGATTCAGTGTTATAAATTGCCATTTACCTGAAGTCAAGAACAATTTAAAATGGACCAATTGTAATGAGTGTTTACTGCATTTTACCATGTACAGCTCAGGTAGTATGGTGCACTCATCACAACTGTGAGTCCTGGAATCAGACTGCCTGGCTTCAAATTCTGCTTCTAATGCTTACCACAGACGTGATCTTGGGCAAGTTACTTGACCTCTTCAAGTTTCAATTTCCTTCCCTACAAAATGGAGTTAATAATAGTACTTACTTCATGGGCTAGTTATGAAGGTTGAATGAGATAATCTTATCTCATATCTTAACACTATGCTTGGCTAATAGCACAAAATAAATTTGTTAACGTGCTTCCATTATAAAACAGGGTTGAGAATAATAATAGGGAGGAAGTGATTATGCCACCACTCCCATTATTTACAAAATAAACCCGATCACATTTCAGATTCTAGAGAACATAAGCCAGTAAAGATTTTTTGATTACATTGAAGAGTACATATGAAAACTCTCAAAAGGGGGTGGGAAGGGTGCCTGGGTGGCTCAGCCGGTTAAGCATCTGCCTTTGGCTCAGGTCATGATCCCAGGGTCCTGGGATCGAGCCCCACACAGGGAGCCTGCTTCTCCCTCTCAAATAAATAAATAAAATCTTAAAAAAAAGGGGGGGGATGGATTAGTTTGTAGATCACTAGGATCTCTTGTCTCGTCCTTCTGCCTACTTGTCTTTAAATAATATACTTCTCAGAAGTGATTTTAACAGAAGAAAATTCCATGGTCCTTCATTCTCATGGATGAGCATGGTTGATGGTAAGCAATTTCAATTTGGCTAAAAAGACAGATGACTCTCACCCAGTGTGACTCATCTGACTATTCACAGTGCTTTCATGCCTGCCATTTCTCATGTCCTCTTTTGTATGGTGGGCTGTGAGCTCCTGGGTGGCAGAAATTGAATATATGAAGTTCACTAGTACCTGTTGCAGTACCTGGAAGATGATTTATTAAGTACTCATTGTATTTATTAAGTGCCTGCTGTATTCCAGGCACTGAACTAGATGCTGGCTGGTACACAAGATGACTAACCATGACTTCCGCCCTAAAAAAACTCATGGTTCAATGGAGAAGACAGACTTATAAACAGATAATTTCAATACGATTTGGTAGCTGATGAGATAGAAGTATGCAAAGGATGCTACAGAAACCCAAGAAGGGGCCTCTAACTCAGTTTGGAGGATGACATTTGAGCTGTCTCGAAGGATGAATATGAATAAGATAGATAAAGGTGGGGAGCATGTGCCAGGGAAAGGGAAAAGCTTGAGCAATGTCACAGAATCATGAACAGTATGGCATGAACTTGAAAGAACATGAAGCAGTTGCAAATTGCTAGAACATAAAATTTGAAAAAGACTAAGCTGTAAGAGAGGGAAGAGCTAAGTTGTAATGGGTCTTATATACCATGCAAAGGGAATTTGGACTTTATTTGTAGGCAAGAAGAGAGAATCAAATAATCAAATGGAAAAATCAAAGGAGTAATTTGAAGTAGGCAAGTAACATCACTTTGTATTTTTGATGAATCACTATGGCTGCCTTGAGGAAAATTTTTTTTTTTAATTTTATTTATTTATTTGACAGAGAGAGACACAGCGAGAGAGGGAACACAAGCAGGGGGAGTGGGAGAGGGAGCGGGCTTCCCACCGAGCAGGGAGCCCGATGCAGGGCTTGATCCCAGGACCCTGAGATCATGACCTGAGCTGAAGGCAGACGCTTAAGGACTGAGCCATGCAGGCGCCTCAAGGAAAATGGTTTTAATGGATCAAGAATGGAGGGAGACCCAGTCAGGAGAGTATTGCAGTAGTCCAATTGAGGGCAGATGATTTAATAAATGAATGAATATGGTACATCATTATGTCCTTAAATATATTTTTTTAAGTCTTTAGTAAAAGAAACTACAGTTCCTTTTGTTCATAATTGAACCATCACTTCCATTTTTCTCTCCAAAATCCAACAAAATAAAATTTTCTTTGACACATCATTATCACCCAGAGTCCATAGTTTACATCATGATTCACTCTTGGTGTTGTCCATTCTATGGGTTTTGACAAATATATAACAAATATATGTACAGTACCATACAGAATAGTTTCACTGTCCTAAAAATCTGTGCTCCTCCTATTCATCCCACACTTACTTCTTGCTTAACTCTGATGCATCTGGCAATTGTTATATAAAGGGTAAAATACGGATTAAAGTCAGTTTCTCCTACCCTGATATCCAACTGTCACAACCACATTTGTTTCCATAGATAATTTTTTACCAATCATGTTTCCTGAGGCCTGTCATACATTGAGTACTTGTAGTAATTAGGATACATTTTTGGAATAAATGTTTTCTATCATTGGTCATTTTTTCTGTATGGAATTATATATGTTTGCTGACAATTCTAGATTTCAGGGACAGCTTTCAGTTCTGTATTGCAAATAGGGTTTCCCCAAGTGCAGGCTCGTATGTGGCTGGATATGATGAAGATATATGATCAATTCTTGTTTGTGTTCTATTATGGGTTCACTTAGTCCTTGAATGAATGAATGAACCTTATGAAGACAGTCTCCATAACTGGTAGCAAGTTATTCTCATAGTTACTACTCAAGTCTGGATCACTTAAGTTCATTAAAGTCTTAAAGCTTCTAAGAGATAGTTATGTATCATCCAATCCATTTCCTACAAAGTTTTTGCATAATAGTAACTTTTAAATCCAATCCATTTTATGTGGCCCTGATCCCAAGAAATAAATTCAACAATAATTCAACTAGTTTTTATGGAGCACCAACTATATATGTAGGGCACAGGTGGACACAAAGATGAAAAAAGCCAGTTTATGTTCTCCAGAATTCACAAGCTAGCAGGCCAACATTGAGTTTTAACTAATGCACTATTAGTTTCATAATGCAGTCAAATTTCCAAAGTAACTAATGACTTATTGAAAGCACTACTTATTTTAAAAAGGCTTTCTTTAATGATTAGAAATGCCACACTCATGCATACTTAATAGTTGCATAGCCTAAGATTTTATTTTGACTTTTTATTTTGTTCTATAGTCTGGCTTCTCAACATTACATACTTAAAAAATTTTTAATGACTGTATAATTTTTCAGTGTCCCATAGTTCACAATATTATTCTTTACAAAAAAATTTTTGGGGTGCCTGGGTGGCTCAGTTGGTTGAGTGTCTGCTTTTGGCTCGGATCATGATCCCAGGGTCCTGGGATCCAGCCTCGTCGAGTTGGGGCTCCTTGCTCAGTGGGGAGCCTGCTTCTCCCTCTCCCTCTGCCTGCCGCTCTCCCTGCTTATACTCTCTGTCAAATAAATAAATAAAATCTTTACTTAAAAAAAAAGATTTTATTTATTTATTTGAGAGAGAGTGATGGTAAGAGACACCACAGAGGGAGAGGGAGAAGCAGACTCATTGTTGAGCGGAGAGCCAGATGTGGGGCTCAATTCCAGGACCCTGAGATCATGACCTGAGCTGAAGGCAGACCAGATGCTTAACCAACTAAGCCACCCAGGTGTCGCTATTCTTTTAAAAATTTATTGAATATTCTTTTTTTTTAAAAAGATTTTATTTCTTTATTTGAGAGAGAGAAAAAGAGAGAGTACGAGCAGGGGAGGGGCGGAGAAAGAGGGAGAAGCAGATTCCCCACTGAGTGGGGAGGTCTGACGAGCCTGATGTGGGGCTCAATCCAGGACCCTAACATCATGACCTGAGCCCAAGGCAGATGCTTAACTGACTGAGCCACTCAGGTGCCCCTTATTGAATATTCTTAACTGTTTATTCTTCTAGATCAGAAGTTTTTGAACTATGTATGGCAGAGCCCTCTGGTTCCAAAGAGAGTCAGTTTTGGTGAAGAGAGGGGGCTTTGATCATGAAGAGAGGTCAAGCAGGCAGGGCTCCGGGTCCACCATACCACTCTTTCTTCAAACCGAATAGCTTAACCTTCATCAGTTTCATCAATTTAATATACCAGTAACAAACAATTAAACCCCCATAATTTTCAGAAAAGGATGCCATTTACATTATCAATAAACCATGTGGTTTCTAGGAATAAATCTACTGAATATAAGCCAGACTTGTATGTATAAAATTATAAAACTTTACTGAATAGCATTAAAGGAGTGGCCGGTAAATGGAGAGATATAGATAGTCCTTTTTAGGAACACTTACTACTGTAATTATCTCTCTACCTAGCCCTTGACACCTGTTGTTGAGCTATAGATTTAATGCAATGGTGATCTTAGCCCTAAAAGGTTTTTTGCATGGAATCGCTCAAGTTGATTTTATGTGGAAGATAAAAAGACCAAGAATGTCTAAGATACTTCTTTTTTTATTTTTAAAAAGATATTTATTTATTTATTTATTTATTTATTTATTTATTTATTTATTTATAAAGCACAGGGAGAGGGAGAGAGAGAACCTTAGCACAGAGCTGGATGCGGGGCTCAGTCTCACCACCCTGAGATCATGACCAGAGCTGATATCCAGAGTCAGGTATTCAACTGACTGAGCCACCCAGGCGCCCCTAAGCTAATTCTGAAGAAGAATAAGGAGGAGATATTAAGGCTATATATTAAGATTTATTATAAAGTTATAGTAATTAAATCTGTTTTTAGTAAGGCATAGACCAATTAACCAATACAATAGAATAAAGAGCCTAGAAACAGAAGCCTGCATATGTGGAAATATAATATATGATGGAAGTGGCAATGGCAGATCAGTGGAGAAATGGAGCTGGGACAATTTATCATCTATATGGGGATGAAATTGGATCCCCACCTTGTATCATATATAAAAATTTCAATTTTACATGAAGAATTTGAGCATCAAAAGCAAACTCTACATTTTTTATATGAAAATATGGATATGTATTTATTCTAATATCAGAGTACTAAAAAGTATTTTTAAAGCAAAAAAATAGAAAATAATCACGATTAATCATAAAATGACAAGCATAAGATAAATTTTGATAAATTCTACTATATTAAAATTAAGAACTTCTACTCATTAAGAAGTTTAATGTGAAAAGGCAATATACAGTTTGGTATATGATATTTATAAAATATCAACCAATAAAGGAACAGCATCAAGAATATATAAGAACCTTCTGAAAATAAAGAAAAAGACAAGTCAATAGAAAGACACAAAATATAAAGAGGCAGTACACAGGCAAAGAAACATATGGTTACTAAACACACAGAGATGCTTAGCTTCTTCTATTTCAGTAACTGCAAATTAAGATCACAGTGAGATAGCACTGATTGTGGTAAAATACACTTAAAATTTATCATTTTAACCATTTTAAAGTGTACAATTCAATGGCGTTAAGTACATTCACAATATTGTATAATGATCATCACTATCTAGTTTCAGATTTCTTTCATCATCCCAAGAGGAAAACCCATTATCTTTTAGGCTTTCACTCTCCATTCCAACTTTCCCCTAGCTCCTGGCAACCACTAATATCCTTTCCATCTCTATGCATTTATCTATTCTGGATATTTCATATAAATGGAATCTGCAATATGCAGTCTTTTGTGTCTGGTTTCTTTTATTTATTTATTTAAAAAAGATTTTATTTATTTATTTGTCAGAAAGAGAGAGAGAGCATGAGTGAGCATGAGCAGGGGGAGCGGCAGGCAGAGGGAGAAGCAGGCTCCCTGCTGAGCAAGGAGCCCGATGCAGGGCTAGATTCCAGGACCGTAGGATCATAACCTGGGCTGAAGGCAGACACTTCACCAACTGAGCCACCCAGGCGTTCCTGGTTTCTTTTATTGAGCATAATGTTTTAAAGGTTTACCTATGTGATAGCACGCACCAGCGCTTCATTCCTTTTTATGGCTGAATAATGTATTGTATGGATATACCACATTCGTTTATCCATTCATCAGATGATAGACATTTGGAGTGTTTCTACCTTTTGGCTATTGTGTGTAATGTTTCTATGAACATAAGTGAGATAATATTTTATACTTATGTAACTGGCCAAAAATTAAGGAGGTACTATCATGTATTGGAAAGACCTCTTCAATGGTATGTTGCTGATGGGGATGTAAATTTGTTTAACCATGTTGGAAAACATCTTAGCATTATCTTGTGAAATTGAACTTTCGTATCCTCTATGATCCAGCAATATTACTCCTAGATATATACCTAGAGAAACTTTAGCATGTAAGTACCAGGAGATTTATACAAGAAAGTTAATAGTAGTACTGTTCCTAAGAGCAAACAACTTGAACTCCTCAGATGTCCATCAATAGCCATTTCTTTCAAGGAATCTGCTATAAAGGGAAGGAAAGTAATGGAGCAGAAGTAGTGTTTGAGAGTTTCTTTCTTTCTTTCTTTTTTTTTTTTTTAAGATTTTATTTATTTCTTTGACAGAGAGAGGGAACACATGCAAGGGGAGCGGCAGGCAGAGGAAGAGGGAGGAGCAGGCTCCCCGCTGAGCAGGGAGCCCGATGTGATTCGGGGCTCGATTCCAGGACCCTGGGATCATGACCTGAGCCGAAGGCAGATGTTTAACCGACTGAGCCACCCAGGCGCAACCTAGAGTTTTTTTCTCTTTAAAACAGGAGAAAAACTAGCATATTTTTATGCTAAAGAATTGATTACATGGAAAAGGGGTGGGGTGGGGGTCGTGGAAAGTTACTGGAAAACTTGATTTCTTAGACATTTAGCCTGGATTTGTCTCCTTTTCTGGAGGGTGCTGTACATACCCTCCAGTTTTAGGTTTTACCTGTTCTTCACTTTCCTTTCCTAAGCTGCTAGATCAAATAGAGCATATCAACTAAGTACTCAAAGAATATTTGCTGTTACCTCTTGTAACTTGTTTAGAGAATTTGATTGCTCTACTTTCCAAATCACCATAGAAATCCGATCCAATTTACCAAGTGCCTCCATTCACAAATTATTATTCAGCAGTGAAAAGGAAGTAACTACAGTTACAGAAAGAAACATGGATGAATCTTAGTAACAAAACGTTGGGTGAAAATAGTCAGTGGAAGAAGAAAGACCATATGTAGCATGAAATCTTTTCTTAGACTGTTTAAATACAAGCAAAAGTAAACAATATGTTGCTTAGACATACTATATATGTGATAACATGAATGCAAAAGTACAGAATTTAGGATAATAATGACCTCTGGGAGGAAGACAAGACAGGAGAAAAAGGAGCACATAGATCTAAATCACTGGTAATCTTCTAGTTAAGTGGTTCTCAAACTTGAATGTGCATCAGAATCACCTGGGGAGCTCATTAAAACCTGGATAGCAGGGTTCCACCTCCAGAGTAGGTGGGGGGGGGGGCGGTGTGAGGCCTAATAATATGCATTTCTAACAAGGTCCCAGGTGCTGCTAATGCTGCTCTTTTGTAACCACAGTTAGAGAACCACTTCTAGTTGTTAGGTTGGGTTGTGGGTTCACAGGTGTTGTATTGCATTTTATTATTAAGTGAACATAGTATTTAAAAAAAAAAAAAAGCCAATCATAGACCAAAGATGAGAGTGTTTCACAAAGCAAGGATTAATATTAATCCAATTCTGGTCTCCGGAGGCATCCACCCCAAAAGAACTAGGGTTCCATTACTAAAAGCAAACTTGAAAAACACTGCTGTAGAAGAACTGCAAGGCCACTTCAAACGAAAATTACAAACAACTACTTTGAGAAATAAAGTTGAAGGTTGATTTTTCCTTGCCAATGACAACAGACTGCATTTCACCTCTCTGGATCTCAATAATCTTTGGCAAAGACTTGGCCCATAACAAATCTACCTCCTTGGTTGATTCAACAAAAGTTGTGTTTAAAGATTTCCATTAGTTTGCTGATTCTTATTCTTCCCTCAAGTGCTTTAGGTAATTATTTTTCATCTTTTCTCGCTCCTCCTTCCAGATTTATTGTGTCCGCTAGGTTCTGAGGTAAAATTTAGATGATATTTCAAATCCCTACGTTGACCAGGGCGTATGTAGAGTGCATACTCTGTTGTCCTGCAATGTGCCAGCCACTGACTGGGGTTTGAAAGATGTCTGAATATAAACTTCTTGGCCCACAAGCAAGTCAGCCTAGCGAGGAAAACAGATCCACAAATACCAAATTACAAAAACCAAAGCAGGGCACTCAAGATGTTATACAAAAACGTGCTTTCATAAGCTCGCCTAAACCCTGTTCCTTTAAGCCATCTTTCTCCCGCGCTCCCACTTTCACAACCACGACGTCCAGGGCGGGGGCAGGGAGGAGGGGCTGCCGGGCGACAGAGGGCCGGCGCTAGGGGCCCCCACCTCATTGGCTTTCCAGCCGGCCGGAAGCGGCGGTACGCCCCGGCTGCGCATGCGCCCCTCACACGTGCTGCCAGAACGCCCCCTCCGCAGCTGCGGCCCGGCCGGCATCATGCTGCGAACTTCTGTGCTGCGGCTGCTAGGACGCCCGGGGGCGAGTGGAGTCTCGCTCCTGGAGTACTCTAGCCCACGCCACTACAGTTCGGGCCCTCTCGGTGCCCCCGACGATGGTCGCGGCGCGCGCGCCTTCTTCACGACACCCATTTTCTACGTGAACGCGGCGCCGCACATCGGACACCTGTACTCGGCGCTACTGGCAGACGCCCTGTGCCGCCACCGTCGCCTCCAAGTTCCCAGCGCTGCCGCCACGCGATTCTCCACTGGTACCGACGAGCATGGCCTGAAGATTCAGCAAGCAGCAGCCGCTGCGGGCCTGGCCCCCACCGAGCTGTGCGACCGAGTGTCTGCCCAGTTCCAGCAGCTTTTTCGGGAGGCTGGCATCTCCTCCACTGACTTCATCCGCACCACGGAAGCCCGGCACCGGATCGCTGTGCAGCATTTCTGGGGACTGCTGAAGGCCCGGGGTCTGCTCTACAAGGGGCTCTATGAAGGTTGGTATTGCTCCTCCGAAGAGTGCTTCCTGCCTGAGGCCAAGGTCACCCGGCAGCCGGGTTCGTCAGGGGACTCGTGTCCTGTATCTCTAGAGAGTGGACACCCCGTATCCTGGACCAAGGAAGAAAACTACATTTTCAGGCTTTCTCAGTTCCGAGAGCCGCTTCAGCGGTGGCTGCGGGGGGACCCTCAGGCAATCACTCCCGAGCCATTTCATCGCGCAGTTCTTGAGTGGCTGGAGGAGGAGCTGCCGGACCTTTCTGTCTCTCGAAAGAGCAGCCACTTGCATTGGGGCATTCCTGTGCCCGGGGACGATTCGCAGACCATCTACGTATGGCTAGATGCCTTGGTCAACTACCTTACTGTAATTGGCTACCCAAATGCTGAGTTTAAATCTTGGTGGCCAACCACCTCTCATATCATAGGCAAGGACATTCTTAAATTCCATGCTATCTATTGGCCTGCCCTCCTTTTAGGGGCCGGCATGAGCCCACCACACCGCATCTATGTCCACTCTCACTGGACGGTCTGTGGCCAAAAGATGTCTAAAAGCTTGGGTAACGTGGTGGATCCCAGGACTTGCCTTGATCGCTATACTGTGGATGGCTTCCGATACTTTCTTCTTCGGCAGGGCGTCCCCAACTGGGACTGCGATTACTATGATGAAAAGGTGGTTAAGTTGCTAGATTCTGAGCTGGCAGATGCTTTGGGAGGTCTCCTGAACCGGTGCACTGCCAAAAGAATAAATCCTTCTGGGACCTACCCGGTTTTCTGCACTACCTGCTTTCCCAGTGAGCCAGGGTTGGTGGGGCCATCAGTTCGTGCTCAAGCAGAGGACTATGCTTTGGTCAACGCAGTGGCCACTTTGCCCGGGCAGGTAGCTGACCACTATGATAACTTTCAGATCTATAAGGCTCTGGAGGCAGTGTCCAGCTGTGTCCGGCAAACTAATGGCTTTGTCCAAAGGCATGCACCATGGAAGTTGAACTGGGAGAGCCCAGTGGATGCCCCCTGGCTGGGTACCGTGCTTCACGTGGCCTTGGAATGTTTGCGAGTCTTTGGAACTTTGCTCCAGCCTGTCACCCCAAACCTAGCTGATAAGCTGCTATCCAGGTTGGGGGTCTCTGACACAGAGAGGGGCCTTGGAGAGCTCTATTTCTTGCCTCGATTCTATGGACATCCATGTCCTTTTGAAGGGAGGAGGCTGGGACCTGAAACTGGGCTCTTGTTTCCAAGACTAGACCAGTCCAGGGCCTGGCTGGTAAAAGCCCACAGGACCTAGAAACTTAGTTCCTAATCAGCTTGTGGTAAAAAAGCAAATGTGTTATCTTCTTATTTTGCATTTTCAGGAAAGTTATACTAATGTTTTCTAAAGTGTTGCATCATATGAGCACATGAACAATGTCCCTGTGAAAAGAGGGACCCATTAACCACTGTACCCATTAACCACTATCCTTTGTACACCAGTGTCTTTAAGATGTCTTCAGGGTAAAGATGGGTAAGAGAAAACTTTGCTGATACTGTTCCTTCTCATTGTGCCTCCTTCCAAGCCACAGTTAATGTTATTTGTCCAGACTACCTCTTAAGGCTTTTCATTGGCCTGGCCTCTGCTGGGCAAGTTAGTGAAGAGTGCGGGTTGGAGGCCCCTACCTCAGCTTTTAGTAGTCCAACTTTGTTATATATGTTGGGCTTCCTCTTAGAAAGAGATTCTTTTATTAAACCTTTAAAAATTTCAGTGTCCTAGATTAGATGGTTTTTGCCCATGTTTATATTTTCAGTTCTTACAACTATAACTTTACTTTTTTTTTAGTTAATAGTCTAATAGCTGTGCTTTGTAACATTACACTTCAACCAGTAGATGGCCCTAAAGTCTCACATATTTAATTGACATTGACATTTCAGAATATTTAGAATAAATTAGTTTTCTGCTTTATAATTATGCAGAATTTAAATTTAAGGAAAAATTTTATTGCTTTTCTTAAAATAAGGGATGACTGTAGCCACTACTGTTTTACATAAAGTAATAAAAAAAGATCAGAATCCTGTTTTTTTCAAACTGCTGAAAAAGGACATTTACTCTATTAAATGTTTAGTAAGCTAATAAGTAAATGTATCACATTTGTTTGGACTATCTGTGATAAATTATAAAGCTCTCGAGGTAGCTGGTATGTTAAAATTTTTAAACTTTAATAACATTGGGTTTACAGATAATGATTAAAAATCTATAAACAGTTCAAAATAGTTACATTTTCTTTTTATTTCTTGGTCATAATTTTGTCACCACATATATAATTTACCTTATATGATTTCTTTTGGTCAATCAGAATCTATAATACAATATAGACATTGTGTGAATAGTTCTAAATGTTAATACATTTACTTTCAAGTACTTTTTACTGATTATTTCTTTTGCTTTCTTAAGTTATTAAAGTTTAAAAGTTTGTGAGTACCTTATTCAGATCTGTTCTGTTGAATTTGTTGAAGGTGATGGTGAAGGGAGGAAATGATCAATGCTCCAGGAATCTCAAACTGGATTTAGGGATCTCTCCAAGGCTCCATAAGAGAACATCACAGAGAAGATGTTAAGGTATCAATTTATACAATGACTACAACACAGTAAGCCAGCGTTATATCTCATAGGTGATTGGACAGCTAGGCCAAAGTTTAAAATGAGAACTTGCCTTGAAAAATCCATTCTAAGCATGGTAGCAAGCAGAGAGGGCTCACTATTAAGTAAACTATTGTGCTGAAAGTTCCCCCAGATTTATTCTAGGTGCTACTATTCAGTTCCAGTTTCTTTTTATTAATCAGTGTGGTGAGAGATTTCTGGTTGCTTGGAAACATTGCTTAGAAAAGAATGCTTGAAGGCATTCTAAAGATGGAAGGACCATTTCTACAAATGTTCCTTCAGATCCTCCTTGTTCTTCATAATGGAATCCTTGGCTTTCAACATGACATATTCTAGTTACATGCTGGGATTAGTGGGGCTGATTACTGGGGCCTATGAGGGAGTATAATATTTGCTAGGGATGGATGGAGCAGAGTGGTGAAAGAGATGAGATGTGTTTATATGAATGAATAAAAACAGACTTGGAAAACCAGTGGAATGATAACCTCTGCCTTTGAAGTCCCCTTACAGCAATCTTACTGAACCTATCATGAAAGGAGAGACAGTGTCTTCCACTTGAATGTTCTTTCCTATGGCCTAGTGCTAGTCAGTACATTGGACCTTAGCTTTCTGGGTGTTAATGGAGTTCCTTTCGTGCAGTCTGTCATTTGTGTGGGAATATTTATGGTACCAAAGGGCACAAGAAAACAGAGGAACCAAAGAAGAGAGGGCATAATTAATACAGAAGACAGGATACTTTTGAGTGAAGAAGTATGGACCTAAGTTATTCTGTGGTGATATGGAAGGTGAACCAGTTGGATTCTCTGTTGGAGGCAAGATAGGTAAAGGAGATAGCCTTTGGGTTCTTAGTTGGTGTGTTTGGTTTGATCCAGCAGTTTAGGAATGACAAGTGGAGGACAGGTGAAACTTAAAACTGGAGGGCATGTACTTTTTAGAGAGGGCATCTTGTGGATCCCTTGACAGAAAGGAGGTTTCTCCCAAATTACAACCTTGAGGCTCGTAATATTCATTTTGGGGTATTCTTAGGGGCAGAGTTGCAGAAGGTGATAGAGCAGGTGTTCACAAGATGTCAGATTAAAGTAATATGTCAACTCAGTAGGCTACACGCCTATCAGTGAAATCATGCTAGAAGTTGTGGTCAATGTATATGTTAGGTGGCATCACTGATAATGGAGAACCATTCTACAAGTGAACTCAGATTAGGCACCTCAGAAGTCGGAAGACCCATGGAGATCAAGAATAGGCAGGAACAATAAATAGATACAATCTCTGATTTCATTGAAATCTCAAAGTTATTCTGAAGTAGGCCTCATTATTTTTCTTAACCTGTATGACCTCTATAGGGGCTGAGAAAAGCCTGATAAGTTGAATATTAAGTTGATGTCAAAGTGCTCATGAAAGCCTAGGCCGGAATGTGGGCTGTAAGACACACGTTTTTTTTTGCACAGTTGTAGGTGTGGTTGGGACATAGCTCTTTATTTTTAAGTAATCTTTACAACCAACATGGGGCTCAAAATTACAACCCCCAAATCAAGAGTCACATGTTCTGAATGAGCCAGCCAGGTAGCCTGGGAAACAGCTCTTTAGATCTGGGAAGTTCCAAGACTGAAGTAAAGCCAGTGGTTAGTCAGGCTGTGGGCCTCCAACTAGGATCCTTATAATCGGGAAGTAGCTTGGGTAGCGGGTGGCAGTACCAAGCATTCAGCAGATTCCTCCACGGGCATTATGGTAGGGATGGTTTCCTGGATCTCTGACTGCCCCACACCTGGTAAGTTGCATTGTTGGCCTGCATTAGTGTAACCCCGAGTTATGGGGGAGGCCATGCCTCTTGACTTATACTTAGTCCATAAAGCTGCTATATGATGATCTAAAATTGTCTCCTGTAGGCAACTATCCATAGTTCTACCAGATATAGATCAACTGTTCTTGTTGGTGAAGTCTGGGGTACTGTAAACCTGGGTGAGTCCTTTCCCTCCTCCTTTGCCTTAGTGAATAATATGAGTGGACCTATAAGGGTTTAGACATATTGACAGCCATGTATCTATTTTTGCAGCAAAGGTTTACTAATCCTGACAGCTTGGAGGGAGCTAGGGCATAGATTGGGGTAACCAAGAGCACAGGTTAGGGGGATCAGTTTTAGAAGAAAGCCTTTGAGTCCCTTGCAGAACTAAAACAGTATGAAATATGTCATTTCCACACAGCAGCTAGCTGGTCCTGACCCTTCCTCTTAAAGGAGCTTTGTATAGCATTGGTTAACTTTTATCAATAGGAACACACCAAATTTGGGGGTTAATATTGCTGGAAGGGCCAAACGGTAACAACCAAGCTAATTACGATTAATAAGTGGGGATCTGAACCTTCCAAGAGGAATGTCTTACTCTTTTTTGAGACAGAGGATAAGAGAAACCCAGCCTAAGCTACTTTCCTCTATCACTAAGAACGACTTTGAGCTGAGGGGAAGGGACTAACCAGTTTATAGGTGAAATTGTTGCTTTCTCTTAGTTTTTTGATAGTCCTGGGTTACCCAGTACAGATCTTGTGAATTAAGAGAACCATCTAACAGGGAATAGTTGATCACATTTAAAATACCTTCCTTAAGATTATATGACTTTGGGGTGCTTGGGTGGCTCAGTTGGTTAAGCGGCTGCCTTCGGCTCAGGTCATGACCCCAGGACCCTGGGATCAAGCCCTATGTCGGGCTCCCTGCTCAGCAGAAAGCCTGCTTCTCCCTCTGCCTGCTTGTGCACTCTCTCTCTGTCAAATAAATAAAATCTTAAAATAATATATTTAAAAAAAGATTGTATCACATTAATCAGTTTCTACTTACATTTTCATGATGAGGAAAGGGAATTGGGAAGAGCTACACAAGAGGATCTTCCTGGGGCGCCTGGGTGGCTCAGTCGTTAAGTGTCTGCCTTTGGCTCAGGTCATGATCCCAGTGTCCTGGGATCGAGCCCCGCCTCGGGCTCCCTGCTCGGCGAGAAGCCTGCTTTTCCCTCTCCCACTCCCCCTGCTTGTGTTCCCTCTCTCGCTGTCTCTCTGTCAAATAAATAAAATCTTAAAAAAAAAAAAAGAGGATCTTCCTATGGCATCGACAATTAGAAATAATATACTGTCTACTGTGCCTCTTTTCATGAATAGCTATTGAGTTTTAGCCATACTTGCATCTTCAAAGTAAGGTGAGACTAAGCACAGAGGTTCCATCCTTGGCTATTAACTGAATTTCACCCGCATTTGGTTTATGGCATAGATTACTCACCATAGATTTTAAAGTCCACAGCTCCTCACTTAAGAACAGGAAGGTATGAGATGTCAGGATGTTTCAGGAAACCAAGGGTGCCATCTGCAAGAAGAAAATTAGAGCTCCAAAGAAAGATGAGCTCTGCTTTCAAGTTATGAAGGATTTTTGGATGAAACATCTGCAGAGAGCCTGGAAGACTCACTGCGTAAGCTGGAGGGACAGCTCTAGGAATAACTGGAAATGGATGATGCCACCTTTCTTAGTGTACGGTATGGGGAAAATGGTACTGTCCTTACTGTGCTACCATACCTAAGGCCATGCCTTGTGCATGTACCCTTCATTAGTTGACAGTCACTGGTTTATGGGATTTAACATGAAGATGAACCTTCAAAAACTAGTTTATGGTTGACTGTTAAAGATTAGAATTTCTGTTAGTACATTCAATAAAAATATAACTACACATTTTTCCTCAACATATTTTAAAAAGTGTAATAACATTTTGGAAAACATAAGATAGTTTCAGTAATTTGGCTTCCTTTGAACTAGTGTAGAAGAGTCTCTTGGTTAAAAAGCTATAAATATTAAAGATATAAAGTTAATAAGAATGTTACACACTTTGGGATAAATCACTAAAATAATACAAATAGAATGTATTTCTTTCAAGCCAGATGAAAAATGTTAAAACTCAATCCAACAGAAGTCAGGAAGGAGAAAAATGAAAAATATGGTAAAAGAAAACCCATAATAAGACGTAGAAATAAGTATAATTACAAATATTTTAGAATTGTAATAAAATATAGGATGAATCTTCTTTCAAAAGACAGCAATGTTCATGCTTAAATTAAAAAGTTAGCTATATGTAGTTAAAAAGTATATACTTAGAAAATGAGACATGAAGAAACACTAGGCATATAAATAAACCAAGAGAAAGCTGGTACTGTAATTTTTTTTTTTTTAATTTTATTATGTTATGTTAGTCACCATACAACACATCATTGGTTTTTGATGTGGTGATCCACGATCCATTGTTTTCGTATAACACCCAGTGCTCCATGCAGTACGTGCCCTCCTTAATGCCCATCACCGGGCTAACCAATCGCCCCCCGCCCCAAAAACCTGTTTGTTTCTCAGAGTCCATAGTCTCTCATGGTTCATCTCTCCCTCCAATTCCGCCCCCCCCCCATTTTTCCCTTCCTTCTCCTAATGTTCTCCATGCTGTTCCTTATGTTCCACAAATAAGTGAAACCATATAATAATTGACTTTCTCTGCTTGACTTATTTCACTTAGCATAATCTCCTCCAGTCCCATCCATGTTGATGTAAAAGTTGGGTATTCATCCTTTCTGATGGCTGAGTAGTATTCCATTGTATATATGGACCACATCTTCTTTATCCATTCATCTGCTGAAGGGCATCTCGGCTCTTTCCATAGTTTGGCTATTGCGGACATTGCTGCTATGAACATTGGGGTGCATATGGCCCTTCTTTTCACTACATCTGTGTCTTTGGGGTAAATACCCAGTAGTGCAATTGCTGGGTCATAGGGTAGCTCTATTTTTAAATTTTTGAGGCACCTCCACACTGTTTTCCAAAGTGGCTATACCAACTTGCATTCCCACCAGCAGTGTAAGAGGGTTCCCCTTTCTCCACAACCTCTCCAACATTTGTTTCTTTCCCTGTCCATTTTTGCCATTCTAACTGGTGTAAGGTAGTATCTCAATGTGGTTTTGATTTGGATTTCCCTGATGGCTAATGATGATGAACATTTTTTCATGTGTCTTTTAGCCATTTGTATGTCTTCTTCAGAGAAGTGTCTTTTCATATCTTCTGCCCACTTTTTGACTTGATTATTTGTTTTTTGGGTGTTGAGTTTGAGAAGGTCTTTATAGATCTTGGATACCAGCCCTTTATCTGTAGTGTCATTTGCAAATATCTTCTCCCATTCTGTGGGTTGCCTCTTTGTTTTGTTGACTGTTTGCTTTGCTGTGCAGAAGCTTTTTATCTTGATGAAGTCCCAAAAGTTCATTTTTGCTTTTGTTTCACTTGCTTTTGGAGATGTATCTTGAAAGAAGTTGCTGTGGGTGATGTCAAAGAGGTTACTGCCTATGTTCTCCTCTAGGGTACTGTAATATTAATAGTAGACAGTCTATATTGAGAGGGAAAACCATTACTAAAGATAAAGTGAGACTTAATATAAAGGAATAATGCACCAACAGGATATAACAATTAGGAACTTGTATGATCTAACAACATATTCTCAAAAGGTAAAAGTATAAAATTGAAAATAACAAATGTTCAAGTCTGCAAAAAAATGAAGTCGCCATTCATGAGTTCAGAGAAATTAGGCAATTAGAAAGTAAAATCTTAAACTAGACATTAGTAGTTCAGTCTTTAATGTTCACTACCAAGTGTATCATTACTGCTAAGTGTAGAAAAAAATAAAAATTTTACAGCAGGTAAGGTTTTATGACTCTAAAACTTTGACTTTTTCCATATACGCCTCTGTGAAAATATCTTGCTTTTTAAATAGAAATGTCAGCAAATATACCTGTTCGGTAAGTCCTCTCTTTGGATTAAAAGGGGAGAATCCCATGGTCATAATTTTGCCACATTTTTTTTGTTTTTAGTTCACAGTAACAAAGGTGAAGGGAGAGAACCAGTGGTTCTATGTTCCTTGATTGTGTTCTCTCATTTTTTCCCCCATCAACTCTGAAGTATTTTTCTTTCTCTGTTTAGTTGGGGCACAGCGAGATTAAGTAATTTGGCTAGGTTATAGCTTGTAACCTATACAGAGGAGCCTGGACTCAGATTTGTCTTGATGCCAGAGCTGCAGCATCAACACCACAACCAATACAACCACTGAGTATACTAAGGGCATTGTATTGTGGGAAAGAGGAAGGAGTATAATCAGAGCCAAAGATCTGAAGATGAAAAGTCTAAATAAGAACCCTTAATTGAAATAAAGCAATGAATGTTTCAAGATGAGGAATTATTCTTGATAGCTAGATTATGAAATCGATGAGTGCCAAAACAGAAACTTAGGAAAAATACTTACCTTTATCATGAAATATATTTCTCTCTTGCTTTCATCATGAAGTATGATATATTCTCTCTTGCTTTCAGTAGTTTCCTTTATATCCTAAGCCTGCTTATGTGTGCTGGTGTAAATTGTTAAATATTTCAATAACTATAGTCTCTTTTTCTTTTTCCTTAAGATTATTTTGTTATTTTCAGAACACTGTTCCAAATTCTTGAATCCAACAGTCCTCTAAATGAAAGTATGCTGTCATAAATTTATGAATCTAAGTATTTTGAAATACTTTTTTGAATGAATACATTTTACTAATACTGTAAATACACATTCATCTCTAAACATGAAAACATGCCAGTATTCAAAAGTTTTATTTGAATTGACTATTATAGTAACCAAGCCAGAGAATTTTATTAGAGCTTACAAACACCAGAACTTTTTCATTTCATACATACAGTTTTACTACAAGTGAACTTATGAAAAGACTCATCTATTTACTAACAGTTTAAGTTCTATGAATTTACTGAACATTTATTACTGTATTCTTAGGTCTTTCCTCACAAGCCTGCAGAAACCAGATTAAATGCCCTTTGACTCCAGTTATTACCAAAGCAAATACCTCCCTGTTAGCTAAAATGCTACATATTGAATAATTCCTAGTAAATTATCTCATACATGACAGTCAAAACATGTTCTAACTTCCCCTAATTAGAGATTTTATTATGAACTGCACAAAATGTCATATTTTACATTTTTATTGAAACATAGCTATTATCTTGGACATATGCTACACCTTGAAGAAGTGTGATGAAACTTATGTTTATATGGATCTTTAAGCTATCATTTAAATTGTAGTTTTATGAAAATGTCTAAAAAAGTATTAAAGTCCTTGCTAACTTGGAAGCCAAGAACACCTACATCTTTATTCTATGTTTTAAATAACTTCTTCAGAGCTATGTTTAAATTCAAGTTACAAAGTCCAAGTTAGCAAGGCATGATGGGTACTTTTTCAGTATTTTTTGCATGGTAGATTATGACTTGTTAATACAATCAAGACTGGTGTATTATAAAAAATATATAGCATTTATAAAACTCTTAAAAAATATATATATATATAATTTTTTAGGTTGTCTTTGAAAGTCACTTACTGAAGCAGTTTATAAAGGCTTTCATTAAGCAGAGAATCTTTAGTCCTGAATTTACTGCATTAACTTTTTATATTTAAATCTGTAAAACTTATTTTATGGAAACTCCCTACATTTTTTAAAAAGCAAACCTTTTATTCCTGAGTTCAGTTTCATTTTATAACTCAGCACTGGAATGTAATTAAATAAATCAAGTAACAATGTGTAAGAAGCCTATTTTGGTATTATAGAAGAAAAATGTAAGCACTGAAATGAATTATTGAAAATATGTATGGTTCATTGCATGAAAACTGATGGTTGGATTTTCATACCATTTAAAATATGGACGGAGTATTTTTTGCTGAATATAAAGGAAAAAATCTTAACGTTCATTGTGACATTGTGTGACCTAGCATTAAAAAATAATTTGTTAGTTAGTAATCCTCAAACTAGAAATATTTTTTATTTAAATGTTGCCCACATAAAAATCAGCCTCTAGAAGATAGTTAATTTATAGCAAATTTTAAATAAAACATTTTTGGATGTAACTGATGTCATAAAATTAGTTTTCTATCCTAAGGAGAATATATAGGACTTCTTCCTTTTTCCATAATCTATGGAGACCATCTAAAAGTAGAGCTATCCATTCTGGGGCACAAAAGCCAATATAAATGTATAACTAACTGTGTGTAGCTAAGTGTAAAAATTAGGAAATCAACCTGATCTCAGAAAAGCAAAGGAAAAATAGCGAAAACTTACTGCTTAACATCAAGAGTAGTGAGAAGGGGACTAGCCAAGGTCAACCAAGTTATCAAAACCCATCATTAGTAAGTCTGTAGAGGTAGATGTTTTAAATACTCATAAGGGAAGGTAGATTAAGTACTCAAGATCTCAAGAGTTTTAAACAAGTCATTCTCTAAAGATAGATACATAGGGCACAGGCATAAAAATCTAACTGGTAAAACATTGTTGCTGAATTTATTTTCAGTTTTCCTTTGGCATAGACATTTAGGATATTATATGTGTTATTTTAATTGAAAGCTATTCTCATAAACAGTTGGATATAGCCTGAATAAAATAATCCTAAGGTTAACTTTAATAGTCAGCATTTAGATAGTATAGGAAAAATTTACTTGTATTGGTATCTTTTAAAAATAATTTGCACAATAGGTCAGATAATAAGGATTTTAGAAAGTTTCTTTTATGTGTTGCTAAAAATATTTAAGTGTATATACTGTATAGTTTGCTTTGGTACCAAAGTTAGACATGTTAAAAACAAAGATCCTAAATATGATTATCAAGAAACACATTGAAAGTATTAAAACCATCTCAAATTGTTGATGTATATTTTAAATTATTATCCTTCAGATGTTTTCTCTAAAACATCAAAGGAAAAAAATACACTTTTTTGGTAATACTTTTTGTGTTAAGTATTTCCTTTATATAGTATTATTGGTCATTTCAGAACTGTGTGAGACTAAGGATGAAGGTTTAATCTCTATATCTTTGTCCATTTTGATATCCTGATTTGTAGCAAAAAGGACCTTGATAGTTAAAAGCTAAAACATTTATCTCTTTAAGGTATTAAATTTGTTTTTGCTATTATTGGTATCTTACATTCTCTATAAAATAAGAGCCAGACATCACAGTTTAAGCATAACAGTGTTTTGGTTTTTTTTTTGTTGTTGTTTTATATTAATGACTTTCATACCATCTCCATTTTTCTGTAATTTATATCTAGAGAGAAAAATGAAGTAATATTAATATAATCTTTATGGAAGTGAATTAATGCTCTGTGAAAGTATATCAGTACGTTTTGGTAAAGAGTACAATTGCCTAAAATAAATTAGCTAAGAAAAATACTTCAAATAGAAATCTTTCTTTGAAGGAAAATGCAATTACTCTTGGACTCTTGAAATTTACAAAAGTTTTAGAACAAAAATGCCTTGGTATGTACTGAATAAGCCTGAATAACAAATACAGGATTAAAATGAAAATGCCAGACAAGTGGAGTATTAAATAGAATATTTCATGATATTTTTGACTAGGGCTCTAATTATAAAATACTGGACCTTAACACATAGCATGTTACTTTCAGAATAAAGGTAGCAAAATAAAATATTCTCAATAGATGGAGTGGACTTAGGATGTGCCAGAATAATTAATATGACCATGCTATTACATTTTATTCCTCCACCTAAATATTTTAGCATAGAAACATTTTGACAATATACTCAAAAAGTAGATACATCAGTGGATAATTCATTATCCTTTATGAGGCAAGATAAAAAAATTAAGTTATAATGGGTTATCTTTCTAACATATGAAGGTTTTAATATATAATATTATATATAATAAGAATATATATAATTCTTACTCTTTTCCAACAGAAGTGCAAACTAGCTTTAGTTTTTGTAGTATACATGAAATTAAAAAGTGAAACAATAAGACTCTTTTCTACTACTGTGCAATCAAATTTCAATAAATGCTAGAATAAATTTACATGTAGTCAATTTAAGTGTTGCTTATTTATGTAACTTTTAATTGTTTTATTATCAATCCAGTTTTGTATATAAGGAATATAATGTTTTTACAGAAGAAAGTTGGGATATACATTAAACAGCATTTAAAGAAAAGTTGGCATGGCAATTTTTTAATTTTAAAAAGTTCTACCTAGTGCTGCATTTTTTAATTATAAAAAACTTTCAATTCTGAAAGAGCAGACAGTCATAGCTTCTTTGTATTTAAAAGATGAAACATAATGTTATGGGTTAAGTTTTATTCAAAGTTAACATTTTGAAAGCCTAGAAACCTCACAAACTAAGACCTGAATGAAAGATAAAAAGGAATAGTGATAGTGTCACAGTGTTAAAGGAAGAAATATGTATTGAATCTGACATGATATATGCAGTGAATACTTATATACTTGCTAAGATGCTATAAGAACCCTTATACTTTTGGTATGAATGACAAAAGAGGGCCAGAAATAGAGATATCTTTAAGCATATTTAAGAGTAGTGTCTACTCTGGTCATAGTAACTGGTATAAAATAAATGGTCATAATATGACAGATTTCCAGATATTATATATACAAATTATCTTTTACATATATTAATATCTGTCAAAATTTCTAATGTAAATCTAGAGTTTGAACTGTTTTATAAAAAATATTTAATGTAAGTGAAATAAATATACACAAACCTAAATACAGCAAAGTCAAAATGATGTAGAAACTAGAATCTTCTACATACATTCTCTCTCTAGCAAGAAGTGTTTTTTTGAATTTGCCATATTTCAGTAAATGGCCTGTTGCTATGTATATTCTGTATATGCTATGGTTATGTCTACAAATATGAAACATTTGGAATAAATCTGAAAAATCCAAACACCAAAAATGTTTTTAAGTGCTTATATAGACGTTATCATGTTGATAAGATAGCCAGATGATGACCACATTTTTCAAACTTTCTCAAAATACTTGTTGTTTTATAGATATAACCTTTGTTCTCTTTGTTACAAATTATAAGTCTATGTTACTTAAATGTGTGTGAATTAATAAAGGAAATCATGATTTTATCCTGCACCTCCAATGTTCTGGCTACTAAGGTTTCTTTAATGCCCTTAAAAAAGCAAAAACATTTTATGTTAGGCACATCCAAACCCCTCATATTTGTTACCAGACCACACATGGGGCTAGTTGTTTTCTATTATTGGATAAAATAGTTATCTAAGACTCACTTAACAGAATCAGTAGAGGAAGGTGGAGTAAGAATTGAATCCTCTGCTCTGAAATCTTTTCTAGGATGAAATTTTGGGCTTCAGTAATATCGAGGTTGCAAACCTACAGACGAAGGTTGAGAAAAGCTTATTCTCACAGAATGTAACCTTGGTTCCTATTAAGAGATTTAAAGAAAATTAGGGTTTTAATGCATTTTAAATGGTTCTTATTTTATAATTACTTAAGGGAAAAATTTAAAAAATAGTATTAACTGGGCCTGGATTCTGAGGAGAGGTGTGCTTTAAGAAATTCCCACTATAAAGAGTGGGCTACCTTAAAACCTGCTGGGGGACCAGGCTGTATCCTAGGGCTTTAACAAAGACTCACTACAGAGGATCTGAGAACGGCCATATCTAATGGTATTTCTAAATTATTAGGTTATACTTCCTTTATGTCATCCCTGAACTTTGGTAAAGATATGCTTCAAAGGAAGATTTATGTACTTAGTTATATATAAATTAGATCCCATGGTTGAGAAAGCAACTATCCAGAGAAAATCAGGGAATTATTAATAAACTTTCATATTACTAGAGTAACATTTTATCCTGTTAAGTAAAACCCAATGAACAGATTGTGTTCCAACAAATGATTTTTTTATTTGATCCACCACTGAACATAATGATTGTTAGAAGATACTGCTTTGGTCAAGATAGTTGAGAATAGGAAAATTTCAGCTAAGGTGTTTTTATAATGAGTAAATGCCTACTTTAGAGCATCAGTGTTTAGCCAAATCCTTTTGCCTAAAAATCTCATCATTTGTTCTGCTTTAAATTATCTGTGTTTGAATGTTGTGATTCAAGAGGAATGCATGCATCAAGCCTGAGTTTATCTAATAAAGCTGATTAAAACTTCAGAAATAGCATGAAGTCTAAGTCAGTTGCCCAGCCTGAATCTGACAACAGAAGTTTAATGCCAAGTGTTCAAGCACTTCTTCTAAAAACTTAAATGGCAACTTATATATAGTTAGGGGAAATGAACTGAAACTTCTAATATAAAGGGTAAAATTTCTCCAAAGAGGCATGGTTGATTATATATTCTGCTTTCTGTGATTTGGGCACAGATGCCACTCTACTGACCTAGCAAGACTCTGAGCATGTCTACTAACAATGTAACAACTTGCAATGTAACTTGTAACAACTATAAGAATAGGTTAATTATCAGGAGTAAGTCATAAAAACAATAGATAATTTTATAGTGTATCAAACCTAAATGCTTCTAGGGTTAAATTTTTTTAAATTTTGGGGTTACACTTCAGGATAATTTGTGAAGGTTTAAAATAGTCTAACCAGAAAAGAAACATTTATAAGGTATAAGTTAAAGATAGTTACCAAAAACAGTGTTTGAGAAAATTTACTCCAATGATGACATGCTGTACCTAACCTTAGGCACTGTTTCAATTTTTGAGCTAAGGAGACTTTAGTAGGCAATTATGATAATGATCCTTTTATCTTAGAATCACACATCTTATCAATATAAAGAGTGGCATGAGTTTGACCCTTGTATTAAGATGTAAAAAAAGAAAACTAGAATAGTCCTTTCTCAAAATGGCAAACAATACATGGAGGGTCTATACAAAGACTGATAAATGTCTACATTGCAGTTATTAGCAAGAAGAATGGAAAGGAAGAAGAAAAGCAACCAAAGGCTTGTTTTTGTTGGTGGATTTTATGCTTCCAAAAACGCGTGGAAATGGCCATGTTCCCAAAATATAGAGTAGATGGCACCACTTATGGGTATCTTTTGCTATCAGAGGGATTAAAATTTTCAGAGATAAGCTAAAAGGCCCTTCTTCTCACTTTGTGTTCCTTCTTATATTTCCCAGAATGCTGAATTGCACAGCACTTTAAAAGAAAATTTTGATTAACAATCTAAAAAATAAAATTATAGGGCAATTCTGTTTTCCACTGTTTTGGTTAGGAAGCTGTTCATACTTCAGTTACTGGCTAAAAGCATGAGTGAACAGTTTTATGTTTATCATAATTTGGTTATTTTAGAATTGAAATATTTTCTGATTCTGAATCTCAGATGCTTAAGGGATTAGAATAGACATTTTGATCTAAGATTTAATTTGTATAAGATTTAATTTTAGTGATTCAACAAAAGATGGTCCGTAACTCTTGGACTGGGCAAAAATTATTTCTAAAAAGTATTATGTTCTCTAAGGATCCTCCCCTCTCAGCTCCTCTACTCCCCAGAAACCATTTGCCTCCTTACTGGTGAAGTTTATTAGTAATCAAAAGTCTGGGTTCTGCCACTTAATAGTAATGTCATTTGGGGCAGTTCTCTTACTCTAAGCCTCACTTCTTTTATAAAAGTTGCCTGATTATTTCTCAAATATATTGAATGGACAAAATGAGATAATATACATGAAGTCTTTGTAAATTATAAAGTGCTATAAAAATAAGGGGTTATTCTTGCTTTGGAATAAAAAGGTAAGCAAAAATATAAGCAAGATTTTATAGCAAATTATCAACAGAGTTAATATAATTTTTATAAGGAATATTATCATGGACTTTAATCTTCAATGACTAAACCAAAGCTTTTCTTGAGAACTACCTAGTTATCATATAGCAAATTTAGTTACAAGGTTAAGTTACCAATATTTTAAGACTGATATCTTGAGTATTTTCCACAGTTGTAAACTTTGTAGTTTTCAAGTTAATATGATTCTATGATTTAGTGTTTATAACATAGGGAAATAGGCTTATACCTAAACATAATTCAATTTATATAGCTGTTATCAATGGCTAAACCAGAAATCATAAAGCTTCAAGGGCTAAGGTAATAGAGGAATTAAGGCCTATCCCTTGAGGCTTAAACCCTTTCTAACTATACTTTTTGATCCCAGTTTAATGTTACATTCATTTTGTAGTATATTAATAGTGTTACCAACATTCCAATTTCCCTGGGGCATTCTAGGTTTATGCCTATATATTATTAGAATATTTTTGAAAAATAGTCTTTGAATAGAATGATTTTATAGGTATATTATTATCAACTTCTTCATTGGTTAATAAGTATATTTCAAAAAATTGTATCATTTTAATTACTTTTGGTGTCCCCTTTCACTCTCAAATGTCCTGATTTAATGATGAATATATCATTTCCACATATAGTAAGAACTTGGAGCAGAGATTAGCAAAGTCGAGAACGATTTCTACAAAGAAAAGTGAAAGCAGAACTTCATATGATTGACAAAACATCAGAGGACCTTGTCCATAGGTAAATAGCTTTGATTTCTATAAAGGTAATCAAATCAAGCCTGTCTGCTGCTCATCAATGAAGTTGGGAGTGAGATTCAAGAGGAAATAAGTGCTGGAGAACAAGGACTCCTAATTCCGAATCCATATAATCATATTTCAGAGAAGGTTAAATCTAATATTCATATTAGAACTTGGCGAATCTCTGAGTATGTAATTATTTGAGAAAAAATGTAGTTACATTCTTACACATGACTCTATTCAGATAGACCCTAATTAAATTTTGTCTTATTATAATAGAATGAATTGTACTTTATTAACAGTAGAGTCAAGATTCTTTTGAACCTGCATGACCTGAGATTAAATCATGTCAGTGAAAACTATATTGTTGGTTATCTTTACCTACAGAGTATGACTATGTTTAGTTTGAAGGATGTTTAATAAAGAAAGGCCAAGTGAATGATTTATTTGAAGAAATGATCTTTAGAATAAATTTTGGATATTTTCCCAAATAATTTATCATTTAAAAGAAAATAAGAAAACTAAATTCTTTGTATTGGATTTACAACATTTAAGCAAAGGTGACAATGATGTAGAAAATAATTTTCAAGAAGCAAGTGAATGATTAAATGAGTTGTATAGTGTTAGGTTTATATCATAAATCAGAATCTTCAAAAGAAGTTTTTAACTTCAAAAACAAATCTGCTAAAGTGCAATTCAGAATGTCGGCATTTCATTATTATCTAGGGTTGCACCTACGAAATCCTTTGAGGAAACAGGATAGCCTTTTTGAAATTAAGAATAAGACATAGATGTACAAAAAGATGTGTATTAACTAACATACTCTGTATAGTTGCATCTGCTCTTTAGGAGTTAGACACAGAGGGAACTCTGCCTGATCATTATCTTTTAAAATTTCCTTTTTATATATTTATAATATATAAAGCAAAATAAATTAAAGATCAAAAGGATATAACATTCCACGTTAAGTAAAAGCTATCTTGGTTCTCTCTTTTTTCATACTTCCAAAATGCTCACTCTGTTATTGGAAAACACTGTGAGAAAAATAGAGCTTTAAGAGTACCAATAAGCTCAGAAATGAAAGAAGGAAAGAAGCTGTGAAAACCAATGACGACACTCTTAAGCATGAATTAGCTGCTTTTAAGCTGGATTCCTTAAGTCAAAACATCTTTCCCCATATTGCCTGATTTTTTTCTTTTATGTTAGATTATACTGTTAAAATTCTACAAATTGGATTGTTTGGTTTCATTGGAATTCCCTTTAATCCTATTCTTAGTCAAGTTGAAGCAAGGAAAGATCCTTGTTTTCTCTCTTGCTTTTATTTCCAAAATCTAGAATTCAAGTTAGTATTATTAGATTATATGTTTAGCCCAGTGTAGATATCTTCTGTAGGAATATCCTGTGAATTTCAACATCATTAAATATGGTTGGAATGGGGCAAAACTCTTCCAAAATTAAGTATACTTGATTGCATTTCTTTTCTTTCAGTTTAGAGCCACATTTGAAAACGAAACCAGAGATGACTGCATAAATAATGACTACACAGTAAATATCCTTAAGCCCTATCATTTTAAATCCAAGAAAGTTAATTGAATTGGGTAGATAAGAAAAGAATCAGGGTCTCTAAAAATTTGGAGAAATTCTATCCAAAATAGGAAATAGAGGTACCTCACAATGCTAATAGCCAGAATGGGGAAAAACCAGATGGAGGGAGGTCTTTCTCATTGTTAGCACACTCAGCTGTTTGTTTTTTTTAATTCATTCAAACAACAGGGATATGGTACTTGGAAAACAAGTTGGAAAGTAGACATTCAGATGAAAAGACAGGGAATTCTTTCCGGATCGAAAGAGGACAACTGGTAGGCTTAGGGAATTCATGGGACATGAAGAGTACAGTTTGATTTTTAGCTTGGAATTTTCCAAAGGGAAAACTTCTTAAAATATTGAAACCTATCAAAGATCTAGAGAAAAATGCCAGAGGAAAATAAATGCTAAAAGCTTTGAGACATTTATTTTGAAGCCTTTAGACTTTAGAGCAGAAACTTGACTCTCCTTATAAAACAAAATAACAACACAAAAAATTACCATCTTTTCAAAAGTGTTACTTTCCCCACAAAAGAAAAATTCTCGGAGATATATTTATCTTTTCTACTCCATGAAGGAAGAAATGAAGAAAAAAGTCAGTCTAATCAAAGGACATTCTTATTAAAAATTCACTTTTTAGGCCTACTGGAATCTTGTAGGTATATTCCAAATAAGTGTGAAGATCTAGGGCTTCCCAAATTTTCTCTGATGAGAAACAAAAACCAGTAAGTAAAAGGGTTGAAGTGAGGAAAAAACTCTTAGCAGGGAAGGAAGGGGAGGGATTTAGTTCCCTAGGAATAGGGAGGCAGCTTCTCATATCCCTGTTTTCCAAAGGAAAGAAGTACACCAAGACGTTTATGACTCATCTTTAGAGAAATACTAAATGATATTTACTCATGGGTACATACCTTGACAGAAATACAAAACTGATGTTAACATACACTAGCTTCACTAAGAAAATTATGTACCAAAATATTAGTAAATAATCAAGTAGTGGCTTGTTTTAACTAAGAAATACATATCAAATGAGGAAAACTGACAAATCAGTAGATGGAAAAAATTTTAATTACATGTCTTAAAAATAAGTCAGTTGTCAATATAGTATCACTCACTAGCTTAGATAAAATATTTTAATGACTATTCAGCCTGTTACTGTGTATCTTTACTTCAATACAATCAGGCTTGGTATTATATTAGTTGATATTATTTTAAGCAGCATACCTAAAAAGAATGGTAAAACTGGAAAACCTTAATCTGTTAGTTCACTAATTTAAAATCGATGCCTGCTATTTATCCTGACAGGTCAGAAAGTAGGTATCAAGATAACCAGTATACAGAAAACTGAAGAAGGATTATTATCAGGTGGAAAGGACAAAAATGACAATGTGAAAACAAGTAGTCTTGAATGGCACTTGATTTCTGAGAGGAATCATGAGAATGCAGGAAATATTAGCAACTTTATGCAATACATAAAAGCAAAGAGACAAAAACACATATAGCAGGTCCAACAAACAGCAATAACTGTAACTGCTAATCAGAGAGTGGTACTCAACATGGAAGGACAGAGCTGATAGCATATTTTTAGGAATTTATGCATAGGAATGGAAACACTGAATAGAGTTGAAAGAAACAGCACTGATTAAGACTATTACACCCACGCTTTGGAAAATTTTGCTCCTTTCCCCAGAAGTCTATAGAGATTTCAGAATACATTTTAGTCAAAGTATAGGCCTATGGGGTCAACAATTTATTATCATAACAATAGGGAATGTTGAAGCATGATATCAAAGTTGGATTGGATGTCCCTGTAAAGTCTTTTCTAGTCCTTTGATTCTGTATTTTAATACTATCCAAATACTATTTCTGGGAAAGATATAAAATTTTTTTGTGTATATGACCCCAATTCATTATTTTAGTTAAATATAGCATAAATCCATGAAACACACTCCTACATCTGGGAGTTATGTATAAATTTGTTTGAAAATATTGTACTGCCATTTTTGGCAGAAATTTATAAAGCAAGTACTATAAACTAAATCATACCTCTTTTTCTAAGCCATCCTTCTGAAATCAGCTGCCAGGAAAGGAAGTTAAAGTCTTAATTTTCCAAGATCCTTTATCTTTTGACAAGCTACCATCTTTCTGATTGTATTAGAGATTTTGGGAAAACAGGTTGCAAAGTTATTACTTTGTGATTGGTACATGTATTTGTATTATCTATTTTACTCTAACACAGTGAATTTCAGATGTCTTCAGATTGACCTTTCAAAGTGGGAACTAAGTAAATAAAAACTTCTCAAATTTATGTGTAGAAGATATACTGCAGAAAAGAGAAAAATTAAAATGGGCTTTACTTAGTTATATAAGGAGAATTTTTACCCTCTGATTCTGTTTTTAGAAGTAACATGTTTGGTCTATCAAACCAGGCCATAAAGAAAGTTGATGATGTTTTCTATATATACAGGTTGACAATAAATTCTGCAGTTTTAATTAGCTTCTCAAAATAAAGCTAAATTCTAAGAAAGTGTATATGTATGAATTATATATATGCATATGTATATAATGTGTATATGTATATAATTTATATATGTGTATATACATAGTAGATGTGTGTATGCACATAATCTATACAGCTCTGTGGAAGAAACATACTTGGATATCAATTATTATCAAAATTCCTTATCCAATAATACATCATTAACTTTTATTAACAGTGCAGGATTTGTTTAGCATCATGTTTAACATTTTGAAAATCAAAACATTAACTTTTTTTGTTCTCAAGGATAGTTCTATTAAAAGATCTTTAACATCAGTGGTTAATAATGTTTATTTACAGAACAAAAACTTTTGATATTTCATTGTGGGACTTTAAAAGTCTATTAATATTTAATAAGTCTATATTTCTAAAAACTGAGAATAATGTGCATGGGATACTTGTATGCTAGTATATAATCATATAGTCCTACTGTTCTCATGAAACCACTTTGCTGGCAAACATATTCATTATGGTTTCAAAGAAACACCCTATTTGACTCACCAGTAAAATCTTTGGGATCTAAGTCCTATCATTTCTGCTTCTGCTGTTGAACATGTATATATTTGGGGATGGAAAAGGGGAGAGGAGAGAGATTTATTAAGGTAATGCCAATATTTGTGGATTTTCCTCTTCTGTCCTAAAATTAGGAAGTTGGTAAAAGAAAAGGCAAATGAATGTAAAATGGATTTTTTTATACTATTACAGAAATTTTAGTGATTAAAAACACTTAAGCTTTGTTCTGTAACTTTTGAACAATTTTATAAGAATTGGCTTTAGAATCAGAATTTAAAGTTTTCCTTTGGTGTAGGAAATAGTTTTGCTTTTTTATGAAAATAATTGTCTTTTTAAATATTAATAATATCTGCAATTGAATATATTGGTAACATATAAGAAGAAAAGTTCAAAAGATTAAAGCATTCAAAGAACGCCAAAATATAGTGGAATATCAGTCAGCGTTATGGGATCATGTCAGAGGTGAGCCCTTCTTTTATCAAAGCAATTCTATTAGATGATCCATATTATATAAATTTTGGTACCAAATGGCTTATATTAGAGGAAGGCTGCAGCATTATCACAAATATGAGAGAAAAAGTTTAATACAGTCAAATTAATCACATGAAAAGGTAAGAACACTGATCATGTTGAATTTTTTCTAATATTTGGAAAATGTTATAAAAAAATATAAATATTACTCAAATTTTGAAAACCATGGCAGAAGCAAAATTAAATAAGGAGTAGCAGTAACAAATAAAAACTTAGACAAAAGCATATTAAATGACAAAATAGCAAATAGTGGAACTGAATCATTAAGATCAAATGTACTTATACTAAAAGGCATGAAAGTATTAAAAATTCTATTAGAAAGGACTCATCCTAAATATTAAAATAAATAGCAAAGACTATTAAACATTACTTCTAAAAGACTGAAAGGAAAGAAATAACACAAAGCAGAGAAAATGAAAGACACCTCACTATTCCCAATGTGGTTATTATTTATGGAATGGATAAAACATGTTGTAGAAAATGTCACTACAGTTAGATTAACACATAAACAAACCAACATGCCACAACTACCTAAATAGTTCTGTAGAACAGCTGAAAAAGCAAATTTCATCAAATTTAGACAGCTTATAATGGAATAAATAAGTATGGCGAGGTATTAACTAACCCTAAGTATCACAACGGGCAGCTTCTAGCCGGTTCGTTGAAGCTGGATCTCGGCCACACAAGGATCATTGGACAAGAAATCAGTTGAGCTGGACTAGAGCTGCCCAATTGTCTTAATAATGAATGCTCCACACTGTCTGTTAAGTAAAGAGAAAGAAAATACAGATCAGAAAGACTGAACAGGAAAGAAAAAGATCGTTAGGGTAGATGAATGTAGGACATCAATGAACATTTACTCAATACTTGCAGAACGTGTACTAATTATATTAGAGTGTTAAGAAGTGAGAGACTAGAGATGAGGAGGGCTCCAGAACTGCTTCCTGCTCTCTGAGAGCTTACAATCTATTTTAGACAATCTCTAATCTAGTGTCACAGTACAATGCTTAGTATATAAAAATGAGGAACAGGTCAACACAGAAATAAGTGAGTTAAAACATTCCTTTTATTTTTGAAAACATTATTAGGTGGGTTTTAAAAACATGCTTTTAGGGGTGCCTGGGTGGCTCAGTCGGTTAAGCGGCTGCCTTTGGCTCAGGTCGTGATCCCAGGGTCTTGGGATTGAGCCCCGCATCGGGCTCCCTGCTCGGCCTGCTTCTCCCTCTCCCTCTGCCTGCCTCTCTGCCTACTTGTTCTCTCTCTCTCTGTCAAATAAATAAATAAAATCTTAAAAAACAAAACAAAACATGCTTTTAAAAGGAGAATTTGGCAGAAGGCTGTTTAGAAAGTTGTTCAAAACCCAAAGGGTACCCTTCAAGTTGGCAATGGTAGGATAGCCATATAATAGAGTAATTCCATATATTTGTGTCATCCTGAAATTTTTTGTGTTAAGATTAGTTTGGGTCAAAGAAACACCTAGTTGCTACTATCCTTTTGGCACTTTGAGTGTTGGTCAGCTCCTAATTTAGGTAACCAAGCTGTCCCATGACATATTTTTAAATTTAGATACGCTCAAAATTTTCCATATTTGTTCCAGTATCTCTAGAGCAGTATTGTCTGATAGAACTTGTTGATGGGAAAGTTCTCTATCTACACTGTCAAATATGGTAGCCACTAGCTACATGGAACTATTTAGCATTTAAAATGTGGCTAGTTGCAGTTGAGGAACTGAATTTTAAATTTCATTTATTTTTAATTAATTTAAAATTGAAATTAGCCTTATGTGGCTAGTGGTTACTATATTGGGGACAGTGTGACTCTAGGGGTTCAAACTCATCTGGTTTGCTAAGCTCTATAGACTGACCTGAATTCTCTGGCTTGCTCAATACTGTCCAATACCACTCTGTATTGTTCATTGCTTTATTCTCAGTATCTGGAATACTGGCTAGCACATGGAGGTGCTCAATAAATATCTGGTAAATGAATGAAATTTGTGGTAATATATAGCTATTCAAGCCTGGTCAACTACTCACAGCTTATTGGCAATATGCTCTGGTACTCTCAGGAAAAATAGAGAAGTGAAGCCAAACTATTCTATGTAAGTGGAATTGCTTGAAGACTTCATATGTCTAGGGAGAACAGGAGCAGCTTCATTATAGCTCGAAGAAAAGAACTAGAAATAGTTGTGGATGAATAATTTAGGTTGATAAGTATGGGAATACTGAAGGGAGAATATAATATTTAATGGTAAGGAATTTAGAAAGGATGTGGATAACAGTTGATGAGAGTGATTAAGAGGAAAAAAATTACTTCAGATTAAAAAACCTAAATTCAGATTGTATACATGACTGAAGGATGGAAACTGAATATAGAGAAGTCTTTTATTTTTTTTAAGATTTTATTTATTTATTTGACAGAGAGAGACACAGCGAGAGAGGGAACACAAGAAGGGGGAGTGGGAGAAGGAGAAGCAGGCTCCCCGCTGAGCAGGGAGCCCGATGCAGGGCTCAATCCCAGGACCCTGGGACCATGACCTGAGCCGAAGGCAGACGCTTAACAACTGAGCCATCCAGGCGCTCCTGAATATAGAGAAGTCTTGAAGAAATAGTAATCTGGTTAGGCAATAATAGAGCTTAACAAAGGGATTTGGCAATGGAAAAACATTTTTATAAAGTTAGCTGAAAAGGGGACATAAAATAATATAAATAGACCATGTAGCATCAAGAGGTCAGAAAAATCACTGGTACTGTTTTGATTTTTAGGAGAGAAGAAAGATGAGCAAACTAACATTAAGACGTATGGATTCTGAAAATAAAATGTAAAAAATTGTGTATTCGTGATTTTGAGTTAGAGGAGGGAGTGACCACTCATTCAGGTGTTTTTTGTTTTTTAGGGTTAAATTAGGAAGAGAATCAGAGCACTAAGGTCAGAGTCACTATTAAACACTATTAAAGTGCAGAAGAAAACAGGAAAACTCCCTTATAAGACAGTTTACAGGGCAAAGGGAATAGTGCCATGATTAGTAGTTGGTAAAAGAAGAAATATATTTTTGAAAGAGATACTGACTCAAACTGAATGTAAGGAAGGAGAACCATATCTGAGAATTAATAAAATTTGAACACAGGCTGTTGACAGTATTGAATTTAAGAGAATCTAGGAGGACAAGAACTAGGATAAGACCCTTGGAATTTGGCTAAGTCATCAAATCTTGGCAATAAGTCTTACATGAGCTGTTTGAATAGATCTCAGTACTGAAGGAACAGTAATTTCATATGGAATGGAAAAGACACCCCTATACTCTTCCTTATTGCCTTTCCAAAACAGATAAATTTAAAATATCTTTAGTGAAATATGTAATACAAAATCCTCCTGCTTGTTTTCATATATCCTTAAAGTAGGGGATGATGGTATCCAAAAAAAGTTTCCAATTCTGTAAGCGATTAAAATTTGATGAGTTGACTCTTGTGAAAAAGAAGGTGCTTATCCAAGTAACCTGTGTGCTAAGGGGAAAGAAAAGAAGATTGAGCAAAATGAGAAAAAATGTCCAATCAGACGGAATGACAGACTCAGAATGCAAGGGAATTAAGTGCTCAAACTCAGAATGGAAATATGTAACTGGATATGCAAATAAAATATGCTACACATATAAGATAGCTTTTCCCCCATAAAAGAAGCATAACATTGGTCGTTTTCATGCTACAAGTATCAAATAGTTGAGATAGAGACTGTGTAGCCTCAAAGCTAAAAATATTTACTGTTGGGCCCTTTATATAAAGTTTGTTGACTCCTGCTTTAACCTGTTCAGGCTGCAAAGAAATTTTCAGGCCGAGCACTTCTGAAAATCTATGAAAGAAAACCTTAATAAGATGCCTTAAATTTAAAGAGTGTATATACTCCATATTGTGGAAATAAATAATCACCAACCTCAAATACATTGGATTCAGCTTGATTAAATGAAAGTCAAAATCAGACATTACAAGTTTAATAGAAATCTTGAGAGAAACTCAGAAGCTATTGAAACTAATGTTTTTGAGACTACAAAGAACAGGATTAACTAGGTACATGTTTAGATATATAAGATTAGTGAGTATCTATGCACTAGTTACCATAATGTTTATGTTAAATCTATACTTATTCTGTTTTACCATCAGAAACTGAGTTTCCTGTCTTTACAAAAGCACAAAGAACTATCTTGTAATATTGAAGTTTGTTTCTAATACTTCCAAGGCTTTGACTTTCTAACACTGGGACTATTAGTGTTTTTTAAATAGAAAATTACATTTGTTATATTTGTTGTGGTAACTTGTGTTTATTTAATGTGGTAAACTGTATTTGCAATGTCTGGTTGGTATTATCCTTATCAGCCTGCTTCCTATGTCATTGCTTACCTAGTTTGAATAGCCTCAACCAGTATGGAAGACTTAAAAGCTCTTAGAATTAGGAACATGTGGCTAAAGACATTCCTCCTTGCAAAAATTTATGTTACAAGTGAAATAAAGTGACTCTAACACAGAGGCAAACTTTTTGTTTTTTAATTTTTGTTTCTTCTCTCTATATATTACAGGTACAACATAGGTTTTCATAAATAGTTGCAAGAAATTAACTGTTTTTGTGTATGTGTGCAGTGGACTCCTTTGGCAGTATATTGAGGTATATGGACCCCTTCTCAGAACCATGTTTTTAAATATAAAATATATAGGATTATAAAGTTATATTGTAATACATTTTTGTCCATAGCCTCTTTGGGGGGGTGGTCTTTGGACTAAATTAACTTTAAAACTCAATGCAGAATCTTAGTAACTCTTTTCCTTGAACTAAAGATTAAATGTAAATGATTAGAACAGTGGTTATTCTATAATACCATTAAGAAATCAGTATGTAACTTTTTTGCTACAAAGGTACTCATGACAGCATATAGACCCCATCTCTTGTACACAATCATCATTAACATTTTGAGCATAAAAAATGACATAATATTCAGTTTGGTTATCTTAATGTAATCTCAGATGCAATTTTAACATTTCAGGAAAACCAAATGCAACAAGATTCAGGTATGTATATTTAAGAGCAGCAACATGATTCTGAACTTAATTAGTGTAATTCCCTAATTCTTTAAGAGAATCTGATTGAGCTGGGATATACCATCATTTAAAATGTATTAAGAAGATAAAAAGAATAGTGATATGAATTGCCATTTGCAAAAACTTCCAACAGTTATACATTATAATGAGTAAATATATAATATGTATATTATATATAATGCACATTACCTTTTAAAGAAAGATGTAAGTACAAAGAAAAGATTGTCCTAATTATGACAGTATAATCATGGACTGATAGGAAACAATTATTGACAATATTTCAATGTTTATTTTTCATGTGGGGCACATCCACAACTAATTATACTACTGAATATAGGAAATCAGTAATTAAAAATATGGATTAGAACCTGAGTACCTTAATAATTTAAAAAAACAGGCTTAATTTTTTAAAACACTTTTAAGTTCATAGCAAAAACTGGTCAGAAAAGTACAGAGTTCCCATAGACTCCCTAACCCCATACATGGGTAACCTCCTCCACTAACATCTGGCAGTCAGAATGGTACATTTGTTACAACTGATGAACCTACACTGACACATTATTACCCAAAGTCCATAGTTTACATTAGGCTTCACTCTTGGTGTTACACATTTTATGGGTTTGGACAAATGTACAATGATACTATCATATAGAAGAGTTTCATTGACCTAAAAATT